CGATGCCCGCGACTTATGCCCGCATCTATGTCGTTTTGTAATTGGAACACAGGGGAACAACTCTACCCCTTGAACACCGCTCGTGACGCCCCCACTCTGATTTCTCCCCTTTGAGCAAAAACTCCCTGCGGCCTAGTTGTCAACCTGGCCTCGATCCATGAAAAAATTTCTCCTCCTAGTTCCATGTGCTTAATGTCCTCAATAGTCCTCTGATGTGGGACCCTGTCAAAGCCTTACTGAAGTCCATATACACAATAGTCATATTCATTACCATATCTACCTCCTCAAATACCTTTGTGAAAAAATGGTAATAATGCGTACAGATCCCCCTTTGTAAAAACATGCTGAAGTCGTTATTATTTTAATGCTTTTCAAGTGGCTACGAACTGCCTCGCAATTATTGATTCCTTAATTTTTTCCCCACGATGGAGTTAGGCTTAATGGGTCTATAGGTCGAAGCTAAGGACCTGTCTCCTGTTTTTGAAAATACGTTCACATTTGCCATTTTCCACTTATCTGCACCATGCCATTTGTAGTGATATGTTAAAAGATGAGCCAAAGGTATGCTAAGCTCCTCTTTTCAGTCCTTTAGAACCCTTGCAACAGTTCATCAGGGCCTGGGGATTTGTTAGGTTTTTAATCTACCTATTGCCTAAGGACCATGTCACTGGTGACCCTAATAGTGCACAGTTTATTAGCGTCCTGTTCTTCATAATTTATCTTTACTGAATATCGCTGGTATCCTCCTGTGTAAAAACTAGAGGAAGTTATTTGTAAAATGCGACACATTTCCTTATCTCGGTCCATGAGCTGACCCGGGGAACTTTTAGGGGCCTATCTCTTGGTGTTTTTCCCTGATCATACTTCTGTATACTGAACAGAATCCTTTTGGGTTAGTCTTCGATGCTCTTCAACTTTTAACCTCATAATCTCATTAGTGCTTTTCTAATTCCCTTTTTTATGTCTCTCTTTTACTGAATATATCGATTTCTTAATTGCCCCTCTCCTCTTTTGATTTTGCCTATATATGCCTCTCTTTTTTGACCTATCAGATATTTTAACTATTGTTTCATCCTTTTAGGATCATTTTTTGTTGATCTGATTTCCCCTATTTGGAACATAAATTTGTCTGAGCAGCGTAAACTATGCCCTGGAAAGCATCATATCGTCAACCATCAACCACCTACCTGACCCTTAGTCAGGTCATTCCAGTTCAGCCCACCGTAAGTAATTTTCAGTCTATTAATCCGCCTAGCGAAAATCAGGGACGGAGACTGATTGCCATTTTAGGGAATCCATGATATATTATAAACTGAGTGATTTGTGATCACTCTCCCCATGCTCTCATTAACATCAAGATATTATTAGTGTTGCCCGACTGCAAGAACCTAGTCAAGGAAGTTATTTTCCCCTAGTTGGCTCTTCACTACTGTTTTAAAAAACGAACCTGGATCGATCAAGTAAAGTCCAACAACCCGACGCTAAATTTCCTTGTCTAATTCTCCAGTCAATCTTCCTATTGTTGAAATCTCCCATGAGCAACAACAGTTTCGTTGGTTGATGCCTTACGAATGTCGTCATAAATTAACTGCACTCCCTTTCCAAGATTTGGGGCACTGGAAAATCACTCACCCAAAATTAGTTTTTCGCGCCCTCGAGAAAGCTAACCAACAGATTTCAGTGGCGGACCCGCGTCTAAGTTATTATCTTGTCTTTCACAACAATTTAATTGTCTTCTGAATACACGCTACTCCACCACCTTTCCTGTTGACCCTTCAGGTGGAATAATTTATAGCCTTGTCGTGACATTCAAGGGCTTCTCTCTATCTTTTCAGTTTGACCAGACCCTGTTATAGCTAATAATATCTATTTCCTGCATCTTGCAATTAATCTTTAGCTCATCTATCTTTATGTCTAACTCTCCGCTATTTAGTAGATATAACCTTAAGGGAGCTAGTCCACTCTGCCCTCTGCTGCTCCCCCTTTTTTGCTTGACCTGTGTAATTGTCTTGATTTATAACTTCATGCTGAATGCCTTTTATTCATTTACGTTTCCATACCCTAAGGTTGCAACCGGCTTGTGTTCCCACACACACCCAGACCGCTATCTCCCATCAGTGTAAAATCATAAGCTTTTCACCAATGGCCTTCTCAAGAGAATCGACCATGAGGTAATATACCCCTAGACATATAAGGCCATTAAGTTAAAGCTAAAGGCCCCACACTAGAACTTGTAGTGAGACCTGATACAAAGTAAAAGGGATAAAACCAACGTAACAAGGGGCTGACCGGAGAGTTAGTTGACGCTAAAATAACTCAAAACATTCGTTGAAATATATGTGCTGGTATGGGTAATAACTTTTTGCATGTTTCTGTAGAAGATTTACAAGGTGGGTCAGTGGATTGTTGTTTTCATATAGTAGTTTATAGGTTGGTTTTTTCTCCTAAGGTGAGAGGAAGGTTGAGTAAACATTTTTGTTTGTGGTTATGGGAAGTGCTATGTGCAGTAAGTAAAAAAGCTACCCCCACACTAGTACATGTAGTGAGAACCTTATACTATCAAAGTAAATAAGGGATAAACCAACGTAACAAATTCCCAGTTCATACTAACTGAATGGAAGTTAGTGTAAATTTTGTTTGCTGGCAATTTTACATGCATTTTTATAAATATGGGGAAAAAAAATGGGCGTTCTGCTGTCTGGTGATGTCTGCTTTTCCGCATCGCCGAACCTAACCTACTTATAAGTGGACCCCGTCTGTCAAAAACTATGGCATGAAAATTTTAAACACTGAAATTCTAGAAAGGGTCCAGATAGAATGGACAGAAACATGACTCAATGGGACTAAACAAACAGTGCACAAGGTTACCATAATAGCCAGTCAGGCCAGACGCCGTACAACAATTTTGGTGATAATTTGAAATGTATGTTTTAGCAAATTCCCATAAAGTGAAATGTGTAAAGGAGGGCTCTCTGAACTTTAATATTAGGTTTTTCATGGACACGAGACTGCGTGTATTTTAGAAATTATAAAATATATTGTGAACAGTAATATAAACTTATCGTCTCTATGACTTCTTATAGATTTACCGGACTGCATTTCATAAAATTTATCACTCTGAAACACTGCTATTGTACATGACCCCCGCATACCGTTGTTTAAGCCGGGCAAGAGGGCTCTTGGTATGCGAATAATCGTATGCGAATGAATTTTCCCCATTTTTATTTTTTATAAGAATTATTGGAAATCAAATTAATCCGTGCAAGACTCCCAAAGTATGAAAATTTTTTTTTACCACTTGAAAATATACATTTTCCTACACACAAAGAGAAGGATACATGCACAATAGTATAGTAGTACAGGCACAGTATATAGTGTGCAGGTACTAGTCTACTAAATGAAGAATATTGAACACTTACCTTATTGAAGATGCACAATGACTGATGAGACACGATGTACTGAGTTGCCTTTTTCCTTTTCCATCCAGAGTACTGTAGGGTCCTGTGGGGCTATTTTCTTCCAGAACAAGGAGCCTTATCACACGTGTATGTCCACTACGATTCTTAAATCTCTCATAACCAACCTTTGCTGGCTTAAATTCCAATATAGCACGAAGTACCAGGCAATTTTTTTCCCTGTTCACCTGGTGTTAGTCGACTGTGTGGGTTGCATCCTGGAGACAAGACTTAAGGACCCCATTGAAATAAGTAGGACAGTCTTCGTTGACACTGACTTTTTTGGGTTATCCTGGTGGAATATCCCCTCTGTTTAAATGTTTCTGGGTTTATTCTCAATAAGCCATCACCAACAACAGTGCTACAGCAGTCAGCAGACAATGCTACAGCAAGTCAGCAGAACGATGCGACAACAGCTGCTGCAACGGTGCTGACAAAGCTGCAGCACAGCTGACGACGCTACTGCAGCAGCAACAATGCTACAAGCAGAAGCAATCGATGCTTCTGCAGCAGCAGACGATGCTACAGCAGCAACAGCAGCTGACAGTGCGACAGCAGCCGCAGACATGCTACAGCACAGCAAACGATGCTTACAGCAGCAGCAGACATGCTACGCACACAGCACGGAATGCTCAGTAGCAGCTGTACCACCAATGTAGCGATGTTGATTGGGGTTCATTTGACATCCTGGCAGCTGCGGAGACTCCACTCCTCTTCAATACTTATCAATGATCTTTTTCTTCATACTCTATTTAATTCCGCACCCTTATTGCTGTAGGGCTGGCACTAGTTGCGTTCTTGGGCCCATGGTCCACTATTTTCCAGATAAAATCACACCAAAAACTCTGTAATAATACGAAGATGGTACGATTGTAGGCTTGGATGCTACGCGGAGGCGGGCTGGTAATCAATGCCACCGGAGAACATGTGAGGCTGGCTAAGGCCACATTGGAACGCGTCTTCGACGAACAGCGGTGACGGGTTTGTTACGTATGCGAGGCAAAATGTTTGCTATTAAAGTGAGCGGATATGCGAATAAACGGTCTGTGATGCCAAACGGATCGGGGTCCACTGGTAATATCCCTTGTATAAGATCTGAAGAATGGAAAACACTGCAGCCTACTGCCCCATGCCAAGAAGGTCCTTATCAAAACGAAACCTCTACCCTAAGCTATCTAAGAATTTAGCTCTCCTGTACCCAATGGCACCACAAACCGCAAGCCGCCTCTCACGGTCATATATTTGTCCATCTCTTATTGTAAAGCTTCTCCATTCTAGGTAACTAAAATAGTCCCTGATATATTACATACTTAACATGTTTTATCGCCTGTGGTAACGGTCCGCAGTATGTGTCACAAGACTGCCTCTTGTGACTAAAATATTTCAGACACTCGGATCACTGATATGGTTGATCTCCTGTATGTACTCGCATATGTATTACAAGAACTGGCCTCGTTGATGGTAATCATGTCAGACAAACCGACATTGATATGGTTTATCTCCTGTATGTAATCGCATATGTCTGCATAAACTGCCCTTGTACACTTAACATTTCCCATGGCACACATGAACAACCGATAATGGCTTATCGCCTGTATGTACGCCTTGGTGTGTCAAAAGAACTCCGGTTAACACTAAAACTTTCAGGCACACTGAACACGAGAGGGTTATCTCAGTTGGTACTCGCATAATTTTTCCACCAAGATGGTCTTTTACACTAAAACATTTATGACACTCGGAGCACTGATATGGTTTATAACCTGTATGCACTCGCAAGAGTGTCACAAGATGGCCTTTTACAACTAAAACATTTCAGACACTCAGCAGACACTGAATGGTGTATCTCCTGTGTGACTCGAATATGTTACTCACAAATCACCATTTCACACTAAAACATTTCAGACACACTGAACGTCTGATAGGGTTTATCTTCTCCGGTATACTTGCATTGTGGTGTCACAAAATTGCCTTTTACATTAAAACTTTTCAGACACTCGGAACACTGATATTGCTTTTCTCCCTGTAGGTACTCCGCATGTGGTTCAAAAGACTGCCTGTTTATACTCTAAACATTTTAAGGCAACAAGTACATTGATAGGGGTTTATCTCCGGTAGTGTACTCGAAATGGTTTCATAAGATGGTCTTTTTACACTGAAACATTTCAAGACACGCATGAGCTCTGAATGGTTATCACCTTTATGTACGCGCATATGTGTCACAAGATGGCCTTTTAACACTAAAACATATCAGACACTCAGAGCCAACTGATATGGTTTATCTACTGTTTTACCGCATATGTTCACAAGGGCATTTACAACTAAAACTTTTCGTACATACTGAATCACGATACGGTTGTTCTCCTATGACTGCATATTTAGGTCGCTCAAGATTGTATTTTACAGTAAAACATCGTCAGACACTCAGGGCACTGATATGTCTTTAGCTCTGTTTGTAACTCGTGAGTCTCTCAAGAGCACCTGTTACAAACATTCTGAAATCTTTCCAGACACTTTTTAGCGGAGCACTGAAATGGTTTTATCTCTTGTTTTACTCGAATATGTGTCACAAGACTGCCTTTTACACTAAATACATTTGCAGACACACGAACATTGATATGGGTATCTCCAGTATGTACTTATATGTGTCACAAGATGCCTGTTACTGTAAAAACATTTCAGACATTTATAAAGCAACTGATATGTTTATCTCCTGATGTACGCGCATATGTGGCACGAGATGGCCTTTTGTGACTAACCATTTCAGACACTCAAGCACATGAGATGGTTTATGCCTGAATGTTTTTCTATTTTTCAAAAGAAGGTATTTCATTTTAAAAATTTAGCATTCTACAAAAGTATAGGAATCTTTCCGTATATACGCTCATGTGTATTTCAATATCTTTTTTTTTAATTATTTGGATACAGAACACAGTTTTCCTATGATACATAATTCCAATGTTATGTGATTTTTTGTGAAAAGGTTTCCTTCTTATGAGCTGTAAAAAGTTATTTTGTGTGTTAAAAGACTAGCATATTTTTGTTGTGCGTGGCGTGTGAAAAGATTAATATATGTACTTACAAACAACGGAAGATACACTCCAATCAGCATATTTTTAATTTCTACTTCTCTTTACACACATTTTTTTGAAAATTTTTTTAATTACTGTATACTATCTTGTAAGTTTTCTATGAACTCTGCGATGCAACTGTTAAGATAGAATTCCCAATATTAAAAGGAAAATGGTTTAATTAGTAATACTTAGCTATTAAAAAAATTACAAGAATATCAAGTGAGTCCCTCCGCATGAAGTACTGAAAGATACACCCTGGTATACTGCCACAATAGACTTCTGCAATAGTCAGTTGTTGTTCAAACCATTTACACTGTTTTCGGGTCTCTAAATACTGAAAGATGTAGTGCCTGGAAAGATACTACCTGGTAGTCTTCCACTAAATACTTCTGCAATATCAGGTTGTTGTTCATAATCATTTACACTGGTCTTCTGAAATAACTGAAGATGTAGTGCCTGGAAGATACAACTCTGGTAGACTTCCTCAAAATACTTCTGCAATATTAAGTGTTGTTTCAAAACATTTACACTGGTGCTTCTCGAAATACTGAAGAGTAGTGCCTGGGAAGATACAACCTGGTAGTCTTCCACAACTATACTTCGCAATAGGAAGATGATCAGTTTTAGTACTATTATTCCACCATACAACACAACATATTAAACCGAAAAACAATTTTTTTTGTTTTCTTCCCCTCTGTTATCAATGTTTCACTAAATAAAATTTGTCACTTTTTAACCTTTAAACTGACCAACGTTAAATCTACGTTTTTCACTGCCAGCCGCTCTGAATGTTTTTTTTTAAATTATTTAAAGAGGGCAATTTTCTGTGTGTTATAAGCCAAAAAAAAAAAAAAAATTTATTAGAATCAGTACTTACAGAGATGTAAGCCTATAAATGTTGTGCTGGACTCTCATCTGACATCAACTTGGAGTACTACCACCGCTTGCAGAAGTGTGCCGAATATCCATTTTCTCGTTTTTAATTTTGATTTAATAATTGTTAATGTTTGTAAATTATCACTTATAAGAGTCTTGTGACTTCATAGCCAATCTTGGTTCTGACACTAAGATTAGGTGACTGAAATAGTAATCAAATAGTCACATTCACATGACATGTGTACTATTTTCACCTGCCTTGGTCATAAACTAATCGTTAGAATTTTTACAAAGTATTAAAGGTCACACATTGTTCTTTAGACCATGTTGGAGTATATGCGAAACTTCTTGAAGCATGTGTTTTATGACTAGTGTCACTAAACTACTGTCAGGGTAAGTATGGAGGACACAATGATTACACTGCTTGCAGGGAACACTGGACTTTGCTTTCATTGTTACTCACAAACAAGTATTCTGTCTGCTCGGCATATCTTTTTTTTTTTTTCTGTCTGTCTGTGAGTCCTCAGTCTTTTCTGTCTGCCTTATGATCTGGTCATTCTATCTGCCTGTATGACTGTCTTTCTGTCTGCCTGTGTGTGTGTGCTTTCTATGCTCTTTGTCGCTCAGTCTTAGAGCAGCTCATAACCAACAGTAAATTACACATGATGCAGTAGCCACATCTGATTCTTGATGAAGTGAAAATGCATATTAGTTGCCCCCGAGTTGCAAGTCATGTTTATGTCTTATCTACAAGCACTGTATACCACTTCACGTGGAATTTTTGGGTTATCCTAGGTAAGTTACACTATGTATTATAACTGTACTTATGTGTACATGTGAGAGAAGAGCAGAGCTAACACAGACAGAGAGACAGACAGTGCTCATCACTAATAAGCATGAATATAGACAGATAAAGATATAGGCAGATAGACAGAGAAACAGACAGATACAGACAGAGATGGCCAGTGGTATAAAAAGTGAAAGGATGTTGCACAAATGTTACACATGGGTTATTATCGAGGTTTTTGATATATCCTCGACCACTTGTGGCCACATCCATCGCTTTCCTCTTAAAAGGGGAGTGTTAATATGACATGAAATCAGTGAATCCTGGCGTTTAACCTTGCGCTTTTGCCACAAGGTACAAAAAGGTACCACCCCCCCCCCCCCCCCCAGAAAAAAAATTTTTGTAATACTGTGCACACCGAGTGCTAAGACCCATTCTATACTGACCAGGCATCTCAGGCCAATCATGCCAAATTTGGAGGCAGGAAAAATAAAATGTAGATCTATGTTCGGAGCACTAGCAGTAAAAATGTAGATCTACATTTGGACAATTTAAGAGTTAAATATAGAAGGGCCCCATTTATAAGGCAGGTGAGGTTCCAGGCTGCTGCTGTAAAGTGGAAAATTGCCATAAAGGGGAACACTGCTCTTCTTTTCTCATGGTTACATATGACTATATAAATTCTAGATAACAAGTTTTCCACTAACATATATTAAGTTAGCAATAGAATTAGCTATCCCTATCAGGTCTAGGAGGCTAAATTTCAAAGTGCACACCAGTCCAAAGACAATTTTCAAAACAAGAGTTTGTTATTTTTTCTTAGAAATCTAGAGAATCTTTTTCTGAAGTTTCGTATAAACAAAAATACGAAATTTGATGAAAAACCTGACGAAATTATGCTCCACGGAATTTTGAGGTGACAGCGTTATTTAATGAATCGACAGCGCGTTGTTGCCGATCTTGACTCCTCATTTAAGACAATTACATTATTCCAGTTGCCAAATTCTGAGCTATTTTCACTAAGTATATACTTCATGTCGTTCGTTTGAGCTAAGAGAATCGCCAAGTCAACTGGTTCAACTACAAAATAAAGTGACTGGAAATTGGCAATTTGGGCCATTTTAACATCAAAGTTCAAAATATTCCAATTTCAAAAGAGGTCCCAGAATAAGCAATGTAGGTATTAATCACACACTGCGCTAAGCTAACTTTTCCTCTGACATAGTTATATTTTTCAGGCTTTACTAATTAAGTCATTTTGTTTTTTTATTTACATAATGAATATTTTTTCAAAACCAAAAAAATAGAAGTTTTACTCTTTGCAATATGGTAATAATTGTATAATACATCACCACATTTGAGAAATGTATAATTAACCCACCAGCCCATGTATTAGAGGTGTGAGGTTGTTTGGTTTTACTCTTGACATCGGCAAAAATTTAACATTTTCTCTATTTTTGAGCTCAGTTTCAAGTCATTTCCTTCCGTGCTAAAACCATTCAAAATCATCTCTATTTTTGGAATATGCTTCCTTTCTAGCAAATGAGATCCAAAAAACGCAAATACAACGATAAAAACATACGAAAAAAACTCTGCTAAATCGCTGTTTTAATCCATTTGGGGGTCGGAAGTCCTGTCAAGACTTGTTCTCAGGGTGGGCAAAATTTAAAAAAAAAAAAATTATTTTTTCTTCTAAAAAGATAGAGAATCTTTTTCCAATCATAATGACCCCAAAATATGAAATTGAGGAAACCTTACGGAAAATGGTCTCGCGAATTTAGCGTCTCGAGATTTTTCGTTTGGGTGATTTTGCCCACTTTGGGCCCTATTTTCGAAATTCCATGTCAGTCAACAAAAATCATCTTTTTTCGCAAAAAAACCTCCTTTTTTTTTCTATCGAATGAGTACAAAAACCCTCATTTCCCTTTTTCAACTATCCTTTCATGGTCAAAATTTTAGCAATTTTCCCAATTTTCACACAAATTTCAAAAATGTAAATTTTTCGAATAGAGCCCCAGAAAAAACAAAAAAAGAC